CTAAGAACATGTCTCTATATCCTACTAAAGGGTTTTCTATTAGGCCGATATAGCTAATAAGGCCAATACGTGGGTCCCGTATAGAACCTATATAGATTAGAGTAAGGATAGACTTAGCTTATCTAACTGCCCTATATAGCTCTTTTAGAGATATAACTATACTAAGCTCCGCGTAGGATAAAGGATAGGTCTACATGCTATACTACTAATTAACGTTAGGGTTAACGGCTATAAGCCACGGTCTTCCTAGGATTATACGGGCGCCCTAGGGATTAAGCTGTATAACGTGGAACTCGGCGCGCTATACTCTCTTCCGACCCTAGTAGTCGGTGGTGGTGATAATCCTATAAGGAGACTTAAGGGTTATCTTTATTTATCCTTCCGTAATCCAGGATACCGGGATTAGGGACCCCTCGGGGACATAACTAGGTCCTAGGAGGGACCGATCTAGCACGTTAATATCGGCGCCTCCGTCGAGGAAGGCCGACGTCTATACCTATTCCCTACCTCGGCGAAGGGATATATATACCTTTACTAGTATAGTAGTAGGGGTAGTCCGAGGCGGGTATAGTTCTTAGGGTACCTCGCCCGTAACACGGCCGACCGTAGGATAAGAGGTAGACACTGGTTGGATATTCGGGTTACTATTACCCGAGCGCTATACCCGAGGGCTAGGGTATATAGTAGCGTAGTGCTCCTTTTAGTTATAATTATAGTAAGTGATAGAGTTAAGGTACGATAACGGTCTAGGGCGTATAAGGTAGCTAGGAGTAGAGGCTAGTATAGGCGTAGGGGCAGACATAGAAATAGGGGCAGAAGCAGGGGTATAAGGAGGGGCACGCGAGCGGTAGCGGCGTTATTAGGCAGCGGACTAAAAGTCTGCCCGAGCGCCGGCTAATCCGTTCGTAATAGTTAAGGCCTCGGCCCTACGATAGGCCGGGGCTAGGTCCTAGTAATTCTTAGGAACCCCTATAGACACTATATAGTCCTGAATAGACGGGAGTACCCTTATCAGCACTATCTAAATCCTTTATTAGTCTAGGAGCTCGCCCGGTAATTCCGACTCTAAGGCTTCCTACCGTTATATAAACTTAGCGTAGGACTCGCCCTCTCTCTAAGATAAGATAGACTCGCTCTGGATCTATACCGCTACCTCCTATAGGCGGGTATCGTTATCGTCTACCTAATAGGATAACTAAGCCTATAATATGGCCTAGCTAACCCTATTAGAGTCGCTATTATACTTATATCGTAGTTTAGCCTACTAGCGTTCCTTAAGGTGGTAGGGGAGGTATAATATAATAAAGTAATTCTTCGTAGCGTCCGTGGGGAAGGACAAAGAGTCTAGGTCAAACCGTTAATTCGTTTCCTAGATAATATACGATACTTAGCCTAGGATATGCTATCCTATTTAGGTAAGGGGAAATTAAACTTAGCCTATATAGCGGATCTATATATAAACGTGGTCGTGGATATATCGTGGGTATACTAGGATCCTATTAGGGTTACGATAATACGACGTCGAGGTTTAGCTATACGATTGTGGGTACTATCGGCCGGATTGGGATTAATAATAGGGTTAATAGCGGCGGCAGCGATAGTAGTAGTGTCCGCCTCAAGCTTAGTAAGGTATGCGAGCTTACGCTTACAGTGGTTTTATACCTCTATTCATTTAACGCGTTTGTCTAGTTATTCCTCCGTTAGCGTGGCTAGGTTAACGTTCGTATACGGGGGCAGGTTAGGGTTATACGCGGGTCCTATTATGGTTATAGAAGGAATAGAGACGGTAATAGGGGTAAAGGCGGCGGTAGAGGTAGTGCTAGCGACAGGAATAAAAGCAGTAGTAGGAATAAATACCGGTACGGTGGTAGGTACGGGAGCCGTGTTAGTTTCCGGCGTATCCCCGTTGTATTCCTTATTAGCGTCCTCCACGAAGGCGGTTTCGCTATCACGGAGCTATCGCTCGAACTAGCTAGCAGCCTCGTTAAAATCAAAGGTAGGATCGTTTATTTTGTGATAGTTAGATATCTTAATAACTCTCCTTAATAGTCTTCGCGCCCTTCGAGGGTAGAGCGATTAAAATATTAAATAGGTAGTCGTAAAGAGTAAAAAGGTAGGGTTAAGTATGGAACCAGGTACAATTACGATAGGATTATAATAGGGTTAGAACGTGGGTATAGCTAAAGAATTAGATTAATCGCTTGCCTCCCTCTTTAGAGGGGAGGCTCTTCCGCTCCTTAAGTCTACGCTCCTCTGCCCTTAGCTACTCCTCGAGGACTACTCTATTTACTTCCTCGAGGGCTGCTTTATTTACTTCGAGGGACTATTCTGTTTACTATATAATAACTATTTTATTTATGCCTCGAGGGTCTTAGACTGGGTATACCTGGACCCCTATAGGTTCACACTAGGGACTCATTATGACCACTGCTGCAGGCACCTAACAAGGTATTTATAAAGATACCATAAGGCTATAAAGTGCTAGGTAAGGTATTACTACTATAAAAAGCCCTCTTCGGCTTAAGAGTATCGCTACTATTATAGTAAGAGAAATTTAGCGGTATACTATAGAGGATAGGATTCACGGCCGTGCCTAATAACCCCTATATTATAATCTATAACGGTTTAATCCTATTTTTCTATATCGACGATATCGGACTTATATACTATAAAGACTATAAGACTAACGCCGATAACCTTAAGGCCGCCCTTAGGCGAAGCTATAGGTTATTAGGAGGCGAAGAAATCCGTTAGTTCCTAGAAATTAAGGTCCTAAGGGATAAAGCCACCCGTACGCTATAACTATTATAATCCTCCTACGTAGAGAAGATCGCGGTTAAATACTATATAGATATACTCTGCCGAAAACCACTAAAGGTCTTATTATCTACGGAGCCGGTAATACCCCGTAACGGCACCCGCGCGTTAATTCCCGAGGTCCGTTAATACTAAGGTATAATCGGTTCTATCCTATACGCTGCTATTATAATAAGACCCGATATCGCGTTCGCCTATTCGAAGCTTTCCTAATATAATATTAATCCCTCCTCTAACTATCTTAAGAGGGCTTAATAAGTGCTACTATTCCTATACTATATAAATTACTACTACCTAGAATTCGGCGGGGATAGGCTCTTCCTGATAGTAAGCGACGCGTCCTTTAGGGATAATCCAGACTGTAAAAGTGTATAAGGATATACGATAAAGCTCTTCGGGGGAACCGTTAACTAAAAGGCGGGTAAGTAACCGATAATTATAATATCGTTAATAGAATCGGAATTACTCGCTCTTATAGAGGCCGTTAAAGAGACGTTATTTATTAGCCGGATATTAAGAGATTTAGAGCTTCGGTTAGACTAATAGTAACTATAGCTATACTACGATAATTAATAGACTATTAACCTTATTAATAAGAAGGTATAACGTCTACGAATAAGGCTATAGCACGTCGATATTTATAATTAGTAGGCGCGTTAGTTAGTATAGCAGGGCCTCTTTAAGGTTATATACGTTAATATAAAGGAGATAATCACGGACGGTTTAATAAAGGCACTACCGGAGGCAGGGATTAAAAGACTATAGTAATAGCTTAATTTAACGGATTAAAAGGACCGTATTAAGTAGTCTAAACGACTATACGAAGAGATTAAACGCGCTAAAGCGGCCGTAATAAAGGCCCCCGAGGGCGTAGAAGATCCGATTAAGTAGATCCGGCTAATCAGGATTAAGGAACTAATTAAGATAGAATTAAATTAAACGGTTAAATAGGGCGGATTTAGATCCCTTTTATAAGGGCGTTTTTCCCTTAACTATTAATTTTACGATAGAAAAGCTAAGAGCGTTTAGTTTAAACTGAAGCCTTTAATTAATTAGTTAACCTAGGAAGACCCACCTTAACTAAGGGGGTATATCGTATAGGCAGGACTATAACGTGGTCTATAGGGGATTTAGGGGGGATCCAATCCCTAATTAAGGGCTTCGGGCCTCGGGTATCAGGATATAACAGGGGCGGATACCGGAAAAGACCGGATAGGATCTAAATAATATAGTACCTATAACAGAGTCTTCACCACCCAAATTAAGAGTATAAAAGACTCATATAGATATAACTTAATATAATACACACATACGAGATTTCTGCTCTACTAAGTTGATTATCCAAGTGCTATTTAACGTGCGACAGCTAGGACTTATAACGTATAAAGCTTACAGAATACCCGTAATTACAATAGGGACTCAATGGGGAGACCTCACGTTTCAATATCGAGACCTCAAACGTGACATTTTAGTGGGGCCATGAACCCGCCGCCAAGATATATATATACCGCACCTATTTTGTATGTACACTTTATGTAGAAAATCGCAGGCGACATCGTAAACCTTAACGTATCACTTCCCACACCGTAACTCTGAATCCAACCGCCTAAAACACGATAATATTAAGTCACGATATCCTACACGATATCCTACACAAAATAACCGCCTACGGCTCCAAGATAAGTATTAAGATTTGAGTATTGGGATTGAGTGTTGAGATTGAGTTGGTTACTATGTCACCTACGATTATTTACATAATGTGTATATATAAAATAGGTGCGGTATATATGCATCTTGGCGGTGGCGTCATGGCCCCATTAGAATGTCACGTGTGAGGTCTCGATATTGAAACGTGAGGTCTCCCCATTGAATCCCTTACAATACCCTTCGCAAGTCGGTCGGTTAAGTGTATATCGACGCATACCGGAATAATGATATACCGTTCATGCGGGTCCACTTCACGTAGGTACCCCGAACCTTGGACGCGTCTGGTAAAAGGAAGGACCATCATTGAAAATTTCCCAACGCCTAACGGAGCTCATTGACTCTAGCTCCACCAGCTTCATCAACACCAAGTAACGCGAGCTTTGCGGCATCGAGATTTTGTGTGAATTCGACAGGTCCGGCGAAACCATCGCCACTGGAAGAAGAAAAGAAAAAAGTAGTAGGCGCATCCTGTTGACATGGCTTCAGCAGCGACTAACGGCGACGCCGCTGCGGTTCTAGACGATATCAAGCCTCCCGCTGGTGTCGTCCTCCCGCCGCGCGAGATCCGGAACATCCTTGAGAAAACAGCCGGCTATGTTGCTCGTAACGGATTTGTGTTCGAGGACAGGATACGCGAGAAAGAGCGGGCGAACCCCAAGTTCAGCTTCCTCAACAAGACGGATGCATACTACGGTTACTACCAATGGCGACTAGAGGAGATCAAGGCGGGCCGCGGCACGGCCATCGCGGCCGGTCGAGCGGGCGAGGCGGCGGCGGCAGTCCCCGAAAAACCCAAAGGTCCACCGAAGCCCCCGGACTTTAAGTTCTCGGCGCGCATGCCCCGGATCAACCAGAAGGACCTGGACGTCCTGCGATTGACGGCGCTCTTCGTGGCCAAGAACGGTCGGCAGTTCATGTCGCAGCTTGCCCAGCGCGAGGCGGGCAATCCGCAGTTTCAGTTTCTCATTCCTAACCACACGTTCCATAACTTCTTCCAGCACCAGGTGGACCAATACACGGCGCTGCTGAGGTCGAGTGGGCTGAGCGGAGAAGGTGGGAAACTCCAACAGCAGGCTATGGCAGAACTGCAGAGCAACGTCGACGACAAGTATCAGGTGCTGCACCGCGCCAAGCAACGCGCAGAGTACGCCAGGCACCAAGAAACCGAGAAGCAGAAGAAGGAAGAAGAGGAAGAGAAGAAAAAGATCGAGTTTGCGCGCGTCGACTGGAACGATTTTGTGGTGGTCGAGACGATCGTGTTCAACGAGTCGGACGAACAAGCGAACCTGCCCCCTCCGACGAACCTGGCCGAGCTGCAGTATGCTTCTCTCGAAGAGCGGAACAACGCGTCCATCAGCGCCAACTTGCGGATTGAGGAGGCCATGCCTGGCGAGGAGGACTTGACGTACAACGCCCAGCCGCAGCCCCAGCCCTCGTATCCCCTGCCCGTTCACACAGGCCATGCTCCACAGCAACCGCAACAGCAGGTTTACCACGGTGCTCAGACCGGTCCGGCTGGGGCTCCCCAAAGGAGGCCGGAAGTGGAGGAGGAGGAGAGACGCATCAAGGAGAGGGAAGAGGCTCGTGCCAGGGAACAACAGGCCAGAGCGGAAGCGCTGGGCGGGACGGCACCGATGAAGATCAGGGAGAACTACGTGCCGCGGGCGATGCAGCGGACGTCGCAGTCGGTGCAAACGGCGCTATGTCCCAACTGCAAGCAGCAGATCCCGATGAACGAGCTTGAAGCGCACATGAGGAGTAAGTCTACACGCCCTATCACCAATTGCGTCTTGGGTGGTTTATCAGATATGCTGACTTTGTGTGAAACCAGTTGAACTTCTCGATCCTCGGTGGAAGGACCAAAAGGCCAAGGCGGATGCGCGACACGCATCGACCAACTTGTCTACGATGGACGTTGCCAACAACCTGAAGCGCTTGGCCAGCCAGCGCACGGACGTGTTCGACCCCATCACGGGCCAGCCTCTCACCGAAGAGGAGCTGCAGAGGAGGAAGAAGGCGATGGTCCACAGCGTGGAGAACCCGAACGCGACGAGTCAGGCGATGGCGTTTGCGCAGGCGCAGGCGCAGGTAGCACAGGCGCAAGCACAGGCACAAGCACAGGCCGGTCACATGCAAGGCATGAACGTCGAAGACCAGATTCGCGCGATCCACCAGAAATTTGCCGAAAAGAAGTGACGTCAACAAGGCTCTGCGAAACAAAGTTGCAAGATTCTACCATCTCGCGTTCGCGTGTACGGAGTGGAGGTTAAAACTGAACATTGTCTGGTTTGGCGACTGACGGGGCTTCGTTGTACGGTGTAGTTTAACAGAAAGGCCGTGTGATATCTTTTAACAAGGATGGGAGTTGAGGGCACTTGACATCGTCGAGGGATTCTTATTGACTGCTACTAGACCGGGTCAATGGATGTTGCTTTGGCGGGCACAACGTCAGTATTGTTTCAATATCGGAGTTCCCTCTAGTCTAACATAAGGGAGACGGGCACGTAGTGCAAATGGTCATACAAGTCTGATATATTTCGAGTCGCATGATGTGAGGGTCCTGCAGCTGCGTGTTAAACGAATGTATGAACAAGTTTGCATCAGCCTACCTTAGTTCGGAGAGTTGTATTGGGGAAAACGAAAGAACAAAATAAAAAGCGACATGCCATAGTCAGTTGAGATGTTAGATGGTGGAAGGTCGATATCGGGGCGTGACTTCGGTTTAATTCCGGGTGAGTTCTGTTATAAACAGACCGTAGTTTTTACGGTTACGTAACGGGCACGTCGCTAGCAAGGATATACTAGCACCGTAGCGGCGCTATATCGAATATATCTTTAAGGAGTATATTCTAGGGTATCCTAGCTAACTTATAGTTCTCGGGGTAGACTAATTAGATTATAAAGGCGTTATCTCTTACCCCGAATATAACTGTATAGATATTATAGTAAGTTCGTTATATCTATATATATAGCGGGTATCTTTTATATATATAAAGGAGGGCGCGGCTCCCTCCTTAAATTAGATAGTAGGCTTCCTAAAAGGGATAGGCTAGGCTTTTAGTAAAAGGATTAAGGCCGGGTTCTTAGATCGTAATTATATTATACTCGGCGCGGTATTAAAGTAATAGCTCCCTCCACGCCTAACTCCTCCCTATATTCTATAAAAGGATATAAATACTTATTAGTTAGAGGATTAGCGGAATTAGGTTAAGGCCTCTAGTGTAACTGGGTGTTAAAGGTGTCTTCGTATGGAGTGGCATAATAGTGATTGACCGACACGTCCTAAGTGAATAGTGGTTCGTCTATAGGTAAGGGGTCTTAGAATACTTAGATTATTCGTTGCCTGCCTTAAGAAAGAGGTCCCTAAGGCGCTCCTTTTATAGCTATCCGGGGTCTAACTAGAATCCTTTTATCTCTTCCCGGCTAACTCCCTTAATATAAGACTATTATACCTAATATCTTAACCTTTATCCTCCTATTAACTCCTAGTAGTCCTACCTTTAACTTCTTATAGCCTGATATCTAGGAATCTGGATATAGCCTCGGCCTTTTTAGGTCGTGGTAATATCCCTCGTAGATATTATCCCTTAGCTGTATAATAGCGAGACTATAGCAACGATCTATTAATTCTAGGTATACCTGCTACTAGATAGGCCCTTCTAGATCGTGGACCTAAGTCGTATAGATACTATCTCTTAGCTATATAATAGCGATACTAAGGCGATAACCTGTTAATTCCTGATATATCTGCTGCTGGTGGGCAGGTCCTTTAAGGTCGTGGATATAAGTCTCGTGGATACTATCCCTTAGCTATATAATAGCGAGACTATAGCGACGACCTATTAATTCCAGGTATACCTGCTATTAGACAGGCCCTTCTAGATCGTGGATATAAGTCTCGTGGATACTATCCCTTAGCTATACTATCGAGATAGTGCTATATTAATAACCGATTAGTCCGTGATATATCTGCTATTGTTAACCCGATAAGCTAAGTATATCTTATCATCCCTTGCTTAGTATATCCGTGATACCGGGGCCTGGCCCTAGAGCTCTTACTTATCGTATGTTAAAAGGCACTTATATAATTAACTTAGTAGAGCAGAAATCTCGTGTGTGTGTATTGTCTTAAGTTATATCTGGGAGAGTCTCTTATGCCCTTAATTTGGGTGGTAAAGACTCTGTTATGGGTACTATGTTATTTGGATTCTATCCTGTCTTTTCCGGTATCCACCCTTATTATATCCTGATACTAGAAGTCCCCGATATCCGGAGCCCTTAGTTATAGAGTGGATCCCCCCTAGATCCCCTATAGACTATATCGTGGTCCTGCCAATACGATATACCCCCTTAGTTAAGGTGGGTCTTCCTAGGTTAACTGACTAATCAGAGGCTTCGGTTTAAACTAAATACTCTTAACTTTTCTATCGTAGAATTAATAGTTAAGGGAAAACGCCCTCGTAAAAGGGATCTAAATCCGCCCTGTTTAACCGTTTAATTTAATTCTATCTTAATTAGTTCCTCGATCCTAATTAGCCAGATCTAATTAATTAGATCTATATCTATCGGATCTACCACGCCCTTAGGGGCCTTTATTACGGCCGCTTTAGCGCGTTTAATGTCTTCGTGTAGTCGTTTAGACCACTTAATACGATTCTTTTAATTAGTTAAATTAAGCTATTACTATAGTCTTTTAATCCCCGCCTCCGGTAGTGCCTTTATTAATCCGTCCGCGATTATCTCCTTCATGTTAACGTACGTAACCTTAAAAAGACCTTATTATACTAACTAGCGCGCCTACTAGTTATATATATTGACGTGCCGTAGCCTTGTCTGCAGGCGTTATGCCTTCTTATTAACGAGGTTAATAATCTGTTAATTATCGTAGTATAGCTATAGCTATTATTAGTCTAGCCGAAGCTCTAAATCCCTTAATATCCGGCTAATAAATAGCGTCTCCTTAGCTACCTCGGTAAGAGCGAGCAGTTCCGACTCTATTAACGATATCATGACCGTCGGTTATTTGCCCGTCTTCTAGCTAACGGTGCCGCCGAAAAGCTTTATCGTATATCCTTACGAGCTCTTACGGTCTAGATTATCCCTAAAGGACGCGTCGCTTACTATTAGCAAGAGTCTATCCCCACCGAATTCTAAGTAGTAGTATCTTAAATAGTATAGGAATAGTAGCACTTATTAAGCCTTTTTAAGGTAGTTAGAGGAGGGGTTAACGTTATATTAGGAAAGCTTCGAGTAAGCGAACGCGATATCGGGTCTTATTATAATAGCGGCGTATAGGATAAAACCGATTATTCCCTAATACTAATAGACCTCGGGAATCGACGCGCGGGTGCTATCTCGGGGCATTACTAACTTTATAGATAATAGGACTTTTAGTGGTTTTCGGTAGAGTATATCTATATAGTATTTAACCGCGATCTTCTTTACGTAGCAGGATTATAATAGCTATAACCTTCGGGTAGCTCTATCCCTTAGGACCTTAATTCCTAGGAACTAACGGATTTCTTCACCTCTTAATAACGTATAGCTTCGCTTAAGAGCGGCCTTAAGGTTATCGACGTCCGTCTTACGATCTCTATAGTAGATAAGTCCGATATTGTTAATATAGAAGAATAGGATTAAACCGTCGCGGAGTATAATATAGGGGTTATTGGGTATAGCCGTGAATTCTATTCTTTATAGCGTGCCGCTAAATTCCTCTTACTATAGTAGTAGCGATACCCTTAAGCCGAAGAGGGCTTTCTGTAGTAGCAGGACCTTACCTAGTACTTCGTAGCCTTATAGTATCTTTATAAACATCTTTTCCTTAAGGCTGGCGTTAACGAACACGTTAATAGTCTTAAACTGCCTTATCTTTAGGTTAAATCGGGCGGCGATTGCTATTAGTATACGGAAGGACCGCGAGGCTAGTATTACGGCGTAGTTATCTTTAGTCTCTAACCGTTTTTATTAATCCCCTTAGACTATAAGGCGTGCCTTACACTTAAGGAGGGTGCCCTCCTTATTA